GTTTGAAAGACTGATTCAAAATGGATAACATAGTGGTGTTTGTTCCGATACGGAAATCAGTCAACTAACTATTCAATAAACTGATTTTCTTGAAGTTGTTTTTGAAACCATACTAACCTATAATTAGAATTACCTTTATCCTTTTTTGCCATAATCCAAATTTAATGCTTCAGTTAAGTAAATATTGACAGTGTATGTTAAATCGGGTGGCTAATCTCACACACACATTTAACTTACTTGATATGGAGGGAACAATTGGCCTGGATTCGGAGTGAAATTACTTGAAATGAACGATGTACCATGTGGTGGTGGTCCAGATTGAAACATGAAACTTGTTTCATTTGAATTATGAATATTTGGTAAATTTGTAACTCCAGCTGGAACTAAAGAAGTAGCCATTTGTGGTGCAGTTGCATTCACTAAATTTGTACCAGCTGCTAAAGCAGTTGAATATGGATAAGATACTGGACCAGAGTGTGTAGATGATGTTTGGAAAAAATTTTGATTAGGTGGATGTAAAAGTGTTGGATATATGGATGTGAACGATGATGAACTAGGATTGTTTATAGCACTTATAAGAGTAATTGATGAAGGTGGAGTTAGGATAGAATGTCCTAAACCCATAGGATTTTGTGGATCAATTAATACATCAGACATAGTAGGAGGTTGAGGAAAAATAGTTGACGGGTAATTTTGTGGCTGTAAAAAATTGAATGTTGCCGCACCACCAACTCCAGCACCGCCTGATAAGCCAGGCAGTAAATGTGTTGATCCTTGAGGAAACTGGAAGCTATTTGCACCGGGAACTGGTCCAGTAGGATGTAGCACATAACTAGGGGTACCTAGTAAAACAAAGGGAAATAATTATAGTCAACAAACTGTACGTTAATATTCAATTATAAACTGGTTGCAGTATCTCTTAATTGAGGAGTGTAATTACCAAAAACAACCAAAATCCTTTCTAATTTGTCGTTTGCACCGAAACGTTGCAAACATATGCATTTTCAATGGCCAAAATACTACTTACTTACGCCTGTTACCCCCCCCCAACGGAGCATAGGCCGCTGACCAGCATTTTCCAACCTACTTTGTTATCGGCCTTCCTTTTTAGTTCTGTCCAATCGCTCTTCATTCTTCTGATGTCTGTCTCCAATACTTGAAGTAATGTGTTCTTTGGTCTCCCTCTTCTCCTTTGGCCTTGAGGACTCAGAGTGAGGACTTGTCTTGTGAAGTAGTTGGGTGCTTTACTCAATGTGTGTCCGATACACTTCCAGCGCTTCTTCCTGATTTCTCCCACAGCTGGAGGAAATCTGGTTTGTTTTCTCCAACAGTAGGTTGCGTGCGATGGTGCCTGGCCAACGGATCTGAAGTATCTCGCGCAGGACAACTACTAATAATACTTGTATCATGTGGATGATGTCTTTCTTGGTTTTCTAAGTTTCTGACCCATACCGTAGAACTGACTTGACGTTATTAATTAAAATGGTGACTTCAGTGTTGATTGTAGTTGTTTCGAGTTCCACATGTTCTTCAATTAAAGAGACGCTGCCCTCGCCTGCCAGTCCGTGCCTTCACATCTGCATCAGATCCACTTTGCTAGTCAATGATGTTGCCCAGATACGTAAAGGTTTTTAAATCTTCCAAAGCTTCTGCATCAAGTGTGATTTGGTTAGCGCGTGTTGTATAAGAGGATCTTGCTCTTCACTTTGTGGTTTGCAGCAATCGCTTAGCCTTTAATTTATGTTTCGAGTTTATTAAAAGTAAGTTATTATACTTCCAGAGTAAGAAGCAGTTTCACAGTTACTTGGTAACCCACCGATTACATAGATGGAGTTACTGATTTATAATACAAAGCAGTTTAGTCGTCAGGCAGAATAAAATGGTACTCAGTTTCAAATTACGAAATTTTGAGTTCAACCCAACTTTAGAATTAACGTTAGCTTATGTAGACGCAACACTTGCATTCTTCCTTCAGCCAAAATATGAGATATCTTACAATCAAAAATAAGAAAAGATCTTCTAACCGACGACTGGACGATTGAAAATCCAGTGACCAGACCAAAGAGCAGTGAATTTGTCTGGCCACTGAAATAACCAAGTGAGAACTCACATACTACGATGCTTCCAACTGCACCTATTAATAGGAGGATTAAGATGTCACATGACTGTTCATTATTTTAAAGATGAGTGATAGTCTGAATTCGTAAACTACTTACTGAATGAAACTGGATGTGGATAACAACAACCTCACTTGAAAACGATGTACTTGATTAAGCAGTTAGAATGCAAAGAGTAACATAAAAATATAACCGTAATGATGGATAGAGAGAAACAAGTGAAGTTATGGAAGAAGCTAGGATTGATAACTCGTCAACATGAAGATCACTTCGAATTTAAAAGCAACGTGATGATATATATATATATATATCATTCGAAAACGCAGGACAATAGTGTGTCGACAGACTTGATGTATATAAATCCACATTTATGCTGAAATAATTAGGATGCATTAACTCTACCATAACTTACCCATAAACTGTGGCATAGGTGTCATGTTGAATATTTGAAGTGGAGCGCATGGTGCAGTTGGCGTACCAGCAATCGGTATAGTTTGGCTATGATTTATAATATTTCTTAAACCAGTAGATGATGCAGAAACTGGCATATTACTAACAAAAGGCATAAAATGTACAGTAGATTGAGATTGTATAGATGGAAGAGAAGTTTGCGAAGTGAGAGATGGAGTTGGTTGGGGACCAACAGATAAAACTGGAAGTACTGACTGAGCGACTGATGGACGTGTTCTCACATTGAATATGTTTGACATACTGTGTGTGGTCATCACAGAAGAACCAGTAGTAGGAATAGTCGAAACCGCCATAGAAGTCGTGCCAACAGAGGTAGATTTGGTGACACTAATTGGAGAAAAGCTAGATCTTTCATTTGTTCTACTGTGATTAGAAGATTTTGAATTATAGGATACAGATGATGTTGTAGAAACCATTTCATGCTTGTTAGGAAATATTGATGTAACAGTCTGTGGGGTGGTGTGATTGCTCATAACTGTACTTAACTGAATATCTTGTGGAGCAGGTTTAACAGGTCTTAAGACTTCATTTCTAAATATTAGAAAAAAATAAACTTTTAACTAAGAATTACTGAACGATAAATACAGATAAACAATTGAATATTGTCTAAGCAAGTTTTGATTTAGACAGACTATGGTACATTACTTTATAAACTACTGGAGTTACAATGGGACTAGACGGTTTACACAGAGTGAGTGAATTTCATACCTATAAACAAAAGGCATCTTATGAATTGCAAATAAACAGACTGGAACTATGACTGCCTTGTGGAAAACCATGTTATTAAATCTAGAATGACTAATTTACCAAGTAGGACCACACTGATGTGAGAGGAAATGATATCAGCCAGTCTCCTGAACCGAGCTGCGAAGGGGGAGTAGTATTTGAATTTGTGACCTACTGGTTAAAATTCAAGTGTTCTAAACACCAAGCCGTTGGAACAGTTTTACAAACTGCATATCTAAGAGATATTTATCCTCAGTTTTTGAATCTAGGTTACTTGATGAGTCGATTAACTACAGATACATATCATTCCCGACCATAGCTGCTACCTTGACGTGGTGGTCGGGCTTGACTATCGTGATGACACAACCGAGCTATATTGGCTGGAACATAAGTTCCTGTAGGTTTTACCATGCCAGGCAAGTCGATTGGAAAACGATAAGACTAAAAGCCGCTACTCAAGGTCTGAGGGCGAAGTCGTACTACTGACTGTAGAGATGTGTGACAGCAGTAAAGTGTTTCCCTCGGACAACCAGCATTTGCAGCGATGCTACTTTCTCACAAGGAAGGAAGGAGTTAGCAAAGGTCGGCCCTAAGGATGTCTCACCTCACACCTAACCTCACAGATTTCCGTCTCCGATGGTAAGGCAATTTAAACAAGAACGGAGCTAACACTTTAAATGCTACCCGTAAAAAGGTTGTGCGTGACGGGTTTCAAGCAGTTGCCACTTGAACTCTGCGGTTACGCTCCCAAGTCTCTAAGACCAACGCTAATCTACCTTCCTTTACAGGTTCTTCAAGAAACACCCTCCTACGGTGTGGGCAGCCGGGGAGTGACAACCGCCCTCATACCCGTAACAGCACGCAAGACCAAATCGGTCACAAACAAATCCTTCCTACACCCCTTAACATCTCTCTTATCCCCACGATTAACTCTTCTCACATTCCTTTATCACTCCGTACCGCTAATGCAAACGAGATACATATCATTCACAAATGTTAGTAGACAAATATACAGATAATGAAGTCGCATCATAAAAAAACGATGGAGACGACCCTGGATTGTGAACGAAAGTTAAAGAGTCTGCCATTTTATACAGTAAAACAGACTGTAATTTCGTAGAAACGATTCACAAAGAACATATCAAAAATGCTACACCTGAAATCATAATAGCACAGAAAAAGTTAGAACACAACATATGTCTATGATGAAGTTTTCACAGTATGTCCTCTCGATTGATTACGTAGGCACTATATATAGTCAACGGAAATTTGAAGATTCGTGATGAGCACATATCTCTTGTGTACAAATATCCATTTCTAACTTACGTAACCATACCAAGTGAGTATTTAATCATAGATTGTTCGCAGATGACACAAAAACAATTTGTCACGCTTTAGTACAAGCACAATTGTGTTGCTTGATAGTGCTATACAATAGCATTCATTTATGTCAGTAACTATCGACTAGGTAAGTAAGTATGAATGATCAATGAAATAAACTCAATATTTTCAATTATATTTAATTAGACCAACTAAATATTAAGGACTTACGAAACGCTATAATCAGGTCCCATAGATGACATTCTTATAGGGGCTACAGTTGCTAGAGCAACGGGAGTACTCATTTGATGTCCATCGGAAGAGCAATTTTTGTTAGGAATACTAATAGATTGACTACTTTGAGCGGAAAGTGTAGATTGACATGGTGAAGGTGATGAAGATAAACACACAACACTAGATGGTGTGTTGTGGGTTGCAATAAATGACGTTTTACTTTCAATAGTAGTACTAGTAGTAGGATCTTGTTTATCTTCAGTCATTGAATCTAAAAGAGATAAAACAAATATGTTTGGAATTATCTAAGACTAAAAGATTCATTCGAAATAAATTCTACATAGTATTTGACTGGGTGATAAACTTAATACCTTGAACAGAAAGCTAAATAGATAGTATGCAAGTGTCTAAGTTGCTACAGCCATCAAATACAACGCGAAAATAAAACCTTGAAGTTAAAATGCATAATGCACGAGTTTCAAAAATGTAATTCTGCATAAGAATGTCGATTGACTTCAGAATTTTACCGTAACATTCTGAAAAAAAACATCAAACAATAACTTAGATATTATGCATCCTCATTTAGTGGGGGCTTCGAAAACTTTCACTCCCTATTAAGAGTTGGAAATGAACTATAAAAGTAAATAAAACTATACAACTACTTAATACTTCGTAATGAGAAGTACGGCTTCAACTAATAATTTCTCGTAGCAGCTAGTAGTATAACTGACTAAACATGGCAAATTAAATAGTGAGGTACAGACCAACATTTAGGTCCAGAGATCATGAACCACTAAGCTACTACTCCGGTTAGCAAGTTAAGATCTCGTGGAAAGTTTGTTGAAAATCAGGGATTTAATTATGTGATCTATAGTGAAGTATATTTCTTACTGAACATAAACTTTTTATAATGATCCAGAATACTGCAATCTAGGTCAACGTTGTATTTACAATACCTAACAGATTTAATTGAGACTTCAAGATTACGGTTTAACAAAATTAGTGAATTTGTGGAGCAAAACAAAATAGGAAAGTGTGGATGTAGGAAAAATAATATCGTTCTAACGCAAAACCGTTTTCCATTAAGGAATATCAAGAAGAAACAACCTTGAATAGTGCGGGTTATCAAGAGGTATCAAACCTTTAAACATCTTCAGTAGCATTACACTCACTCCCTGAGTGGGGTCATATTTTAGTAGTTACGACGCTTGGCTTTGAACAATTAGACAGTAGGTTCAAACTTTTATAGTCGTAGGGACCGGATAGTAACACTCATATTTTCAAAACATCGTTCAAAGCCGACTACATAAAACTGTACTTGGTAAAACGTTCTTACACAGGAATTTATTATCTAGTATGCTAATTAGACAGTCAAACACATTAATCAGATGTGTTTACAAGATTATTCTTTCTTTATAAGTGAAGTTATCAGATTAAAATGACTTTCGAACATTAGGAAATACTTGTATAACTAACTTACTAGGTACAATGTATACAGAGTTGTTCGTAAGAGGAATTATCTTTTTCGGAGGTTCATTAAGTAATATATCATCAGATTCTTGCGTGTCCACAGTTAATGGTCGATCTTCAAAGTCCAAGTCATCTTCATCTTCTGCCTGGCGATCGCAAGGAGTAATTTTCGCTTCAGATCGCAAACAATTTTCCGTAGTTAGAGATTCATTATCAGACTGAGTGTGCTGATTACAAATAAGCGAGCTTGATTCTTTCATGGTTGATAGGTGAGAATTGTCAAGATCAGTCGATATAGAGGAAGGATTATTTGATAAAATAGTGTTTGATAGACCATCACTTTTGTCTTCAGATATTACAGCCTAAAAATGTACGAATATGAATGAAGTTGTTAAAATCAGTAATAAAAGAGTGAACAACTGAAAAGTAAAGAATTTAACTGCATCTGAAATTCTGTAGTTGAAGAAATGAGACTTCCATCAACTATATTAACTCGTTTACGAAACAGAACCGATAGACAAATATATATTTGAAATAAACATGTACCAATTAACTCTGAACAGGTTCCTGAGAAATTCGTATTTCCATACAAAATGGATAATGAAAAACTATGAGGTTTGATATGCATAAATGTTTATGAAATAAAAAGACGTAGGTAGTGAGTTGTAAACTTTAGCTGAATCAAGTGGCAGTGCATTCACATTATAACTTGGCTAAGGGGATACTACAAAATCGTACACGAATGACAGCTAACAGACTCTTTCGAGGTGAAGACCGGTGTCAGGCAAGGTTGCTTACTCTAACCCTTTCTCTTTCTCCTGGTCATCGACTGGATTATGAAAACGTCAACATCTGGAGGGAAGCACGGTATCAACTGGACAGTTAGGACGCAGCTGGACGATCTGGACTTCGCAGATGACCTGGCTATTCTATCGTACACGCAACAACAAATGCAAGATAAGACGACCAGTGTAGCAGCAGCCTTTGCAGCAGTAGGTCTCAACAAACATAAAGGAAAAAGCAAAATTCTCCGATGCAACACAACATGCACCAACCAAATCACTCTTTATGGACACGCCTTAGAGGACGTTAACACCTTTACATATCTGGGCAGCATCATCGACAACCAAGGTGGATCCGATGCAGATGTGAGGGCATGGATTGGCAAAGCGAGGGCTGCATTTCTACAGTTGAAAAATATCTGGAACTCCAAACAACTTTCAAACAAAACCAAAATCAGCATTTTCAATACAAATGTCAAGACAGTTCTAATGTATGGAGCGGAAACATGGAGAACTACCAAAGCCATCATCCAGAGGATACAAGTGTTTATTAACAGCTGTCTACGTTGGCCAGACACCATCATCAACAACGAACTGTGGGAGAGAACAAGTCAGATTCCAGTGGAGGAGGAAATCAGGAAGAAGCGGTGGAAGTGGATAGGACACACGAGACAAGCCCTCACATGAAACCCTCAAGGCAAAAGGAAAAGAGGAAGGCCAAGGAACACATTACGCCGAGAAATAGAGAAAGATATGAGAGGAATGAATAAACATTGGACAGAACTGGAGAGGGAAGCCCAGGACAGAGTTGGCTGGAGAAAACTGGTGTGCGGCCTATGCTCCATTGGGGCTAACAGGCGTAAGTGAGTAAGTAAGGGGATACTTACCAATTTATAAACGTATAGTCTAAAACGATTAGACGAATGATTGTCGAAATTAAACTACAACTAGCTTTTACAGCTACCAAACTATTTTCTATATGCGTGAAAATTAGGCATTCTTCTTTGGTTACCTTTATATGTATTTATCATTTCTTTACCGTCTACGGAACAAGAATCATTGGTTGTAGTCAAAACATTTGCAAAGAAACACACTCAACGATTTTAAAAAGATGAAATGTAAGCGATTAGCAGTTTCAAATTGAAATAAATGTTGACTAATCGACTAATCTGTCTACTGAATTTAAGGTTGCTTACAGGATTCATTGGTATTTTTGGGAATCATTTATTTCCAACTCGTAATATAAGCAGAAAATGACTATCAGTCGGTTGTTCATATACAATCTAAAACCTGGAACATATGTATATAGGTCTAAGTTGCCATTACACAAGGTTAAATTATTAGGATGAGTACTAAAGAGCCATTAATATCAACGAGACTAGATGTTAACATAACGGTTTGAAAAGGATGAACTTGCAAAATGAACGCCGTAAATCATTTTAAAATCATGATTTGGTAGTTAGTGAAGAGAGAATGCACCCATACCATGGACACCAATTTTGAGCCATGTTAACATAAGTCTCTAGAAATTAGCTATGAAAGCAATGTGCACTTTGATCGAGTGGTTTCAGTCAGTCAGTTACAACGTAGAGCCTCATAAGTAAGTACATCAGTCCAGGTTACCATAACACATTCGCACAGAGACGCAATTGTCAATTCGAATCCCATAATGGTAGAGATAGTAGAAGAATTACTGGTAATGGAGAAGATTAGGGTTAGAAGATATAATTCGAAAAGTGTAATTCAGTGAGATAAATTTAGAAAGAGAAAGATAGAGATGATGAGAAATTCAGAAGATTAGAATTTGAGAGAACGAAAATAGTGGATCCACCTGTGCTATTGCAAATGATTTTGAGCCGGTGACTTTCGTCTCGCGGACCAGTCCGCTTGTCAGTGAATTCATGGATTTGTGCCATGATTTGGTCTGGCCACCCCTAACTTTCTTCCAGCCTACTCCTTCAACGCAAAACGTAGCTCGTCGAGGCAGTCGGTGGATGGACATAGGTAACACATATCCCGACCACCTCAACTAATGAAGTTTCAGTACTTCATCTATGGATTTGCGATCCTTACGTAGAACCCGTTTCCTAGCGACAGCACTACTTACTCGATAGTCCCAAGATAAACGAGCAATGTTTCGGAGATACCGATGATCGGAAACCAGTAAGCCATTGCGCATTAAAACATGTGGTGGTTACAAATGTACACGGTCAGACCAATTCGTTTGATGAAAATTGTTTCATTAACTGATTGGGAATCCTTCACCAGTATCCGACATCGCTTACTAGGTAGATCCAATATGAGCAATGTTTAGAAGACACTTATGACCATACAATACCATTTTAAAGATATCATTCGGCTTTAGAGGCCAAGTTTCGCTGCTATGCTGCAAGACAGAATGAAATAGTGCAATAGAGTTCCTCTTTGTTTGGAAGAATATCTTGCCTCCGCCACAGGTGACCCAAGTTGGCAAAACTTAGTGAGCTGTTCATGTACATGAGACTTCATTAAACGCGAAACCATTAGAATTGAGACTGTCAGAATAAATGGTCGACGCGGTTGTCACTAATCTGGGCGCTAGCTCAGACCAGTTAAAAATCGTGTCTGATAAAAACGTGATATATGAAAACTGAATAGTCTTTAATCTTTGCACTGTCCCCGACCTACAAAATGAATCAAGACCGGATATTCTCCAACACATTAAGCGAGAATGAATGATGTTCGAATGTAGGAAAATCTATTGATATTTGCATCCATTTTCGAAGCCTTTCAATACAAAGGATGGAATAGGACAAATATTAACAGTATAACAAATGGAAATGCTAAGATCAAATGCTATACTGATACTTCCTAGGTGGAGTAGATGGTTTATTCTTCAAAAGCACTAACATTATGTTAGTATCAGACAACTCAATAATAGTTCAGCTCGCTGTCGCGGTCCATGCAGTGAAAGGATAGAAAACAAAGTAAGACATTCATAGAATCAATATGTCAATTGGTCTCTGATTTTTACAACTACGGACCATAGAACTATGTATTTTTAATGACAATTTTCGGTAAAACTCTTCGATCCCAAATAAAGACCCACACTTATAAAGGCAAATGTTTTATCGTGTGGAGGCACTTATGATAAGGCTGTTTAGTAAACACAGGGCAATATGACGACCAGATGTTTTAAGGTTCATTATTCGTCTATTGAGTACTCTACCATAAACAAAGACTTACCGGTAAAGGAGATTTGGACTTGAAATCGTGAAACCCCAGTGAGGAGGAACAAGTTTTGTTTGGACAAATTTCCTCAACTGTACAGTTATTGCCTCCATTTTCTTGTACACCAATGTTCGATTTATCACTGCAGAGTTCAGTATATTCATGAGTATCAGTAACCTAAATTATCAGAAAGGAAGTATCTATGGCTTACTTTGGTCTTAGAATTTACAAGTTCTACCAAACATACAGGGGGTGAGTCATCTTCGCAGCGATCCACTGATTTCGTGAATACACAACTGCTCATCTGATCCTGCATTTAAAAGTTAAGATAAAACTAAATTAGGACTACCATAACCCAGCATACAGAAGATACAGCACCATATGAAGGATCCAAGGTCACTTTTCTGACCACTAGGTCAAGTGAAAAAAACTAAAGAATCCAAACAAAAAGTAGGAACAAACTTTTGTTAAACAGAAGAGATGGTTAATTCAGACTTGTCTTTTGGTTATGAGAGACTGTTCCTAATTGCATGGTCTTTTTTAGTGAGACGTAATTTTAGTGAATTTCGTATCCACAATAAAATACCATTTCTTCCCTCTGTTGAATAACGTTCGATATGTAATTGTTTATAGTATACCATTAACAAATAGTGCAGTTTTGGAATTGAACAGTATTGTTTCACATCACGCGGGTGTTGTTTGCGGAGGATACTAAACGTAAATTCAGAGTTACCAGTTGACTACCTTAAATCACCTGATATATCTGTTATTTTCGAATGGAGATTAAAGTAATAGCAATTTAGAAAAACTGTGGCTGGCGCCTTTTTATGGTTACTTAATGTCCTGAGCCTGGATAAAAGAGAACGATTGGGCATAGGATTAGCAACGCCTATGCTCGTACTACACGTACGCTACACTTTTCTCTTTTTCTTTCATTTTGTATCCTGAGCCCATGTCAACGATCATCGCCCTGTTGGTACCGCAGACTTCAGTCAATCTTGGTGAAAGTTAGACTGATCACCCACGCTCTTGTCAATGAAATCAGTCGATGTTTTGGTTTCGAATGTTCTTGTATACGTATGGTTTCTGACTTGGTCGTTCTGGTCGTTTCTGGCTCCCTTGCTCAATCTGGTTCCGTTCTGCGTCTGCTGTTTTTTCTGGTCCGGACCGCTACTAACGCAATCTTCAGACTCAGGATACGAGCCACACGGGTGCGGCATACCAACACGAGCACTAAACTTTGCACGTTACTATTGGTACAGTTCAACTTAAAAGAATCTCGTTGACAACTCGAGCTTCATTAGTCGCTTCCTGTCCGTCAAACCTTCCTCCCTACAATCGCTCGTTAGCCGACCAGCGTCCCCTCCGCACGAAAAGGTTACGTATCGAAAGTGTAAGCCCTTTCAAGGGGGGGCTAATGTAGTGGTCTACTTTTACGAAGGAAACACAATTGCTGAAATGCAAACATATATTATTGTACTTATTTCTGACAATAATTGTCTTATTGTACACCTCTTGTTTTTCTGTACTAAAGACTATCTCTCAAGCGCCAGCTTGTCTCTGCTTTTCGGCCTTCTCTTCTCGCTCTTTGTTAGCCACTCGTGTACCATAGTCTCGTGATTATTTCGATATCACGAGGCTAGCAATGAATCGTCTTTCCTCTGATTTCTAGATTTATGGGATTAACATTTGTTATCCCACAAATTGGTATGTTTATTTGGTATTACTCTAACTCCTTTAAAACAAAGAAAATAGGGGTTACAACGGATGTCATTCAGCACCATCAACAAATGGTGATAGGTAATCTTTAACTGGAGACACTAGGTTTCCAGAGAAACTGTATCATAAAAGTTTGGTACTTTCCCCGGAAGACTGGCAAGCCCAAAGAATTCCAGATAGCTCTACGCAGTAGGCTCAAACGAAAAGAAAACCAGTGTGTAGAACAGTGGCAAAGGATTGCACAAGTAATAACCTCACCAAGGGAGTCAAGGAAAATGCAAAATACACAAAAGCGAATCAAAATATTAGACAGCTGGTAAGCTGGTAATATGGAGTAAAGCATTCGAAACCTTACTCTTCTAACTTCTTATTCCGATTATCCATTTGTCTTAATCTGGAGCTTGTGTTATTTCTGATTTTTATTGGTTGCTTTCTCTATTGAATGTAAGTGAATTTTATGTACCTACAGAGTCTTAGGCTCATATTTTCTCTTGTTTTAGTGAACCATAACAATCGATCACGAAGATAGGAATCAAACCATTCATCGAGATCAAAAAATAACGAAAGAGGCGGGTAGAGTACGTGGAGGGGCTAGGGAATTGATCAGCCCTCCGAACCCACCAGTCATCCAAGCAGCCTGGTCATCAGGTAAACTAAGAGGAGCAGTGCAGCAGCACCTATAAAATACCAGCTGAAGCACCAGAATCGGATGTAGAAAAAACCTCAAAGATTATTCACGCTTTCATCAGAAAGATTTAACAGGAAGAACAGACAAAATCATTTTTGGACAGTCGATTGAATAGAACACATCACTTTACATCAACTTCTTAACTATGACCGCATGGGCAGAGGAACAATATGGGACCCTCTTCGACACTGGTATACGTAAGCATGAATGTCACCAGCGTATAGAATTTTTACAGCGTATTGCAATGCGCAGTTGTGAGTGGGGAGTGGCCCACAGATCTGTTTCAAGTGAAGATTGGTATCTGAAGATAATGACAATAATAAGAATAAAATTTATTCTCAAATAAAAGTGTTTTATGATACATGCCATTTTACAAAAAAGGTCAAAACGTTAAAGTGCCAACACATCTGCTGATAAAAAGTTGTTCATTTAAATGAATATTTTACCAGACACACTGTTTTCTGTAGAGGGCCAATGTTTTTCACATGAAACTGTAAATAGTGTTTCAGAACCTGGAAAACCCAATACAGTGGTTGGTACTAGTCGTGTCGGTTGTGTTGCGATGAACAACTAGTGGTCGATAATCAATGCAAGTTAAATCTAGGGCTGTATAACAAAATTTGTATAACAAAATTGATAAGGTAAGTGTATACTAACCTGCATAATGGCATTCTGAGGATAGTAGTTTAACAGGCTACTGAAAAAAGCAACTCTTAATCTTCGGGAATATCAAGGCTATTATTTAACGAGTAGGATGTTGTGCTGAAAAAGAGATTGCTCATCCTCCCCTCTCTGTCTTTTTCTAACGCTTGACTGGGTTTTTATTACGAGCTTATCTTAGGAGAAGAACGGAATATAGAAGACAGCTTAAATTTAGTTACTCTCCCCCCCTTTCTCTTGGTGGTTGACTGAATTGTGAAAACCTCCATATCTCATGTAGGGAAGTAATGCGATGGACAGCTTAGATGCGGCTGGACGATTCAAATTTTGCAGATAACTTAGCTATTTTATCTCATAAGTAACACCAAGGGCAGGAGATGGTCAATATAGCGGTCACATCTGCAATAGTTGGCCTTAAAACAAAAAAGAAAAAGCAAGACCTTTGATAAACCACAGCATGCGCCAACCAAACCACACTTCGAGGAGAAGCTATGCAATATCCAATATCTTTTTCACGAGCTAGTATAAGCAAATCGATTTCTTCGCGATGGATTCTTGTTCTTTTGGTACGGTTCCAGGTGTTTTGAAAGTGTCCAATGGATGGGTGTCTAGCCACTCGACTGCTCAATCATAGTCAGTCTGCAGTTGTTCATGAGTCTGTAGCCTCATGATTTGAATGAATACATTAGTTCCAAGGAAGTAGCAGCAGCCACCACATTTCCAGGCAGGGGATCAGTTAGTTTTAATGTGGAAAGTAATGATCAGGAGAAAATTCTAGTGCTAATAAGAAGAAGATTTCAGAAATAAGTAAATAAATATATAATTTAGTTTATTAATTGGTAGTAAATGTTGTGCGAAAGGACCGAATTATGAGCAGGGGAGAGGAAACAGAGATAATAAGAAAGATATGTTAAGTTAGTGATCTAAGGAAATAGCAATAATAACAACTAGCTGGTTTCAAGACATGCATCATGCACAGCTCGTCCACGAGGGAGTTGATGATCCGTATGTGAGTATGCGTTCATCAAGTCTCTTTTCAAGACTGTCCAATGAGAGGGCTGCGCTTATCTCGGCTGGGAGAGCATTCCAAGTTACAACGACTCTTAATGAGAAAAAGTGTGCACAAACATGAGTATTTGCTCTTCGATATTTCAAGGATTGCCTCGAGGGGATTGGCGGTGATGCATCGGTAAGGTGCTCATGTTAGGATGGTTTGGCGTGCTTAATATGTTGCACTCCATAATCAGATCACCTCTGATTCCACTGTAACTCAGGAAGAATATTCCCAAGTGATGCAATCTATTTTCGTAAGTTTAATTTTTCAACCGTATCACCGGTTTCGTCTCTGCAATCGATCCAAGGGATTTATGTCTCTTTTAAGAAGGCGGGTCGCGACGAGTTTTTGACCGTAAAGGCGTGCATATGTCTTGAACACCGTTGAGAATAATTCTGCGGTGATAGCACCAGTTTGCCTTAGCATAAAGTAAAGAGTTGCATTAGCCTTGTTTGCATCCCCTTTACAGTTCGAACTGGTGTGGAGGCTTTCAGTGGTTATTCAACCAAGATCACGCTCTGAGGAGACATTAGGGGACGGACTTCGGTTGAGAGTGTGAATCGTTTGTGTCATGTGGGGCAGAATGTACATAACGTGAAATTCTGACTGGTTTAATTGTAAAACGTTTTTCACTGCTCATCCCTCAACACATGTACGGTACTTTTGAAGCTTAGTTGAACCCTGTTTGAATCTAATCGACCTTCAGATGTTTGCTTCGTCTGCGTAGGTGGCTGACTTTGTCTAACAGATCGTTTATGAATATCAGGAAGAGAAGTGAACCTAAGGTAGTCCTCTGTGAAACTCCCGATGTGTATACTCGCCAACTCGCTTGCATTCTATTTACCTTGGTGTTGAGATGGTGGAGAAAACTAGTAGCTCAGGTGGATGATTGTGGTGGTGTTTCGTTCTCTGAGCTGGTTGTTTTGGTTATGGAGCTTTCATTGTTCTTCTGAACAACATCATCAGCACAAACTTCAGATAGAAGTGAAGCATTCGAATTTCTCCACGTTTGACCTGTAGCTTGTTCTGCTAACCTCGATCTTGACTGGTTGTTGTTGACCTTTGACCTGTCGTTGTTTGCAACTATGTTTTGATTGCCTCCTTCTTTTGATCTGTTTCTTGATCTAGTGTCACCTATGATTTTCCTGATTGGTTAATAAATTGGGTCAATGTCGATGTGTTTGTTGATTGCTAATTGACCTGAGTGCCAAGCTTCTAAAAATTCTCTAGT